TCGTCATCTGCTTCTGTGTCAGGGTTGTCGATTCGTGGCTGCTCTTCCTCGATGCTTTCCATAGCTTCGCCCATTTCCTCGTCGTCTACCGCCAGAGGCATGATTTCTGCCTGTGGTGGCTCCGTGGTGGCATCACCTGCGACGGCCGGTGTCGTGTTTGCCATCTCCGTGTCGGCCTCCTCCCCGCTGTCTGTCGTTGCTAGCGCATGGTTCTGTGCTGGTGGGCTGTTGGACGACTGGATCATGCTTTCCAGGTTTTGCCTTCTGTAGTCGTCTGCGCCGAGCTGTCTGGCATGTATTTTCTGTGACTTGGAGAGCTTATGGAAGGTGTCTCCAACCTTCTTCGGCCGCGCGTAGCAGCCTTCATCGTCTGCGTGGTGGGGTCCGTGGCAGTTGGCACATTTCGGGGTTACCTGACAGCCATCAGCATCATGATCCATGTCGGTGACACCGCATGTTCTGCACGTCTTCGTCGCGGTGCACCGCACTGGCGCGTGGAAGAGCCAGGATGATTGGCGCGGACTCAGCAGCGCTGTGCTGCAGGGTAGCTGGTTCAGGCCGGCTCCATTTTCCACGATAGACGGACTGCTCCTTCAGGAATAGTGGCAGTGGATTATGGTTGTCCCTGGGCTATGTCTTGCATTTCCTTATCGCAGCACATAGTCCCGTGGTGCTTGTATTAACTGCTTGGCCTGAAGGGGTTTTCCCATGTGTTCAGCGTCCTATCTTTAGCGGCTAAAACGGCGCGGCGTCGTCCGCTATCAGCGACACGGTCGTTGTATGTAGTTTCGCTACAGACGTTACATGGTATGGTTAGTACTTGCCGGTTGGTGCCTTTGATACCGTTCACGCTAGCATGCTGCGCATTGTTCTGCGCATGTTCTTCTGGTGACCTGTCTTATTGTTTCCGTGAGCCGCTAAGCTAGCTTGTGGACTTTCATTGGCCAGTTAAGGCGACTTTCGTATCGCCGTCGAGGAATTATATGGTACTGTATTATTACACGCTAATTAACGGTTAATTAGCAGGGGATTGGCACATTGAGGCAGCAGCATGTGGTGTGGTAGATTCTACGCAGCTGTGGCACCCTGGCGAGGCGTGTTGTTCGCGATGTGCGCTTGAATGGGCCATAGCCACTTCGTCGACAATTTATACACTGTATGATGACGCTGCGGCCTCCCATACTAGGCTTTGCTTTGAGTCGGTCGAGCGCAGATCGCTAGTCTCAATTCTGAGAATCACCAAACGCCGATGGCACGTCCACAGAAATGACCATGACTCGAGATAATGCGCTACCATGATTTATTTGTCGTAATTGAACAATGATTAACCAGATCAATGGCTCATACCGGTAGCTAAAAGCCAATCATCAGGGTTACAACGGGGCGGTCCCCGAACCCCTTCCCTGCAATCGATGATAAATCGCTCTGCGCTCACTGGACCTTTTTTCGTGTCTGCGAAGATGTTGTCGAACCGACACGCGCCGAAAACACGGAGCGAAAATCTGAACAACTAGACAAAACGGTTTAGCTATCTATTAGTTGTAAATCGTTCCTTGTATTCATCGCTGGGCCTAAATTGTAGGGACCATTGGTTGAGCAGCTCCAGCATGCTACTACCATTGGGGCTGTTCTGGGGTTGACGAGCGGAAAGAGCCCCGTCGCCAGAGCGGAAAGAGCCCCGTCACCGGAGACAATCACTAGACATGGGTGCCTGGCCCAGACTCAAATCTGCGCACACTCTAGGGCGCAATCGGGCAGGTATTGACCGGTGCCTTCGAACCGCTGTTGCACGCCTTTCCTGTGAAACGCTATTAGGCTACCGTATGTCGCCCGCAGCCTTTTCTACATTCTGAGGTAGGTTCATCTCCCCGGCACGCGCCATGGTGAGCACGCAATGTAACCGAGCGCAGATCCAGCCAGCTAGACTTGCAGAACAGTCTTCTCAGGTGTGTCAGATGAAATGCGTAGCCTCACAGAACCTCTGCCGTGGTAGAGGTTGGCAGCTGAGCATGCGCCCAGACCAACCTCGTCTGGTACAAGTACTTTGTCAGCCTGTTGAAGCTTAATGTCCTCACTCTATACACCTACCGTCGTCCTTCAGTTTTACCAATAACTGCTCCGCAGTCATGCACACTTCTGCACTTGGATTCAGCTCTTATCACTGGTCAGCGATGCCGAGAACTGCATGCGAAAACTCACGGGGATGCCCAGATCTTTCATCAGAGTTGAGTCGGGCTGTACCACCGTTACTTCCTCCCAACCCGGTGAGACAGTCGTCGCTTTTCATGACAGAGACTGGCAATTACTATCTCCCTCCGCCTACATCCCGCAAGAATGACAGTCGCTCGTCTGGTAGCCAGAGAACTCTTCGTGAGAACGAGCATCCTGTTGCGCCTCGTCCTCCAACCTACGACGGACCGACTTCCAGCGCCTACAACCAAGTTGAGCCCCATGCCGTATATTTCGGCTCCTATCAGGAGCCTTTAAGCCGCGTAAAATGGACTGATCCTCTTCACTAGCCACGGATGATGCTGACGAGTATACGCAGATCATTTCATGCTTCCGCGGTATTCTTGACTTCGCCGCAGTCTATAGTCCGATGCTGAGCAAGCCCGAGCTAGAGAATATTATTACCTATACCGATAAAATCAAGCAAGCTCTGGAGCAGGCACACAAAATTCAACAGACAGAGAGCGTGCCGGCGAAGAGCGATATCGGGACTGTCAACCAGGAATCACAGGTGACTGATACGCTCCTGAACGGCGAAAAACCCCGCGAAAAACGGCGCCGCGAGGAAAAGCCCAGTGGGAGAAAGCTCCGAGTAAGCTGCCCTTCTTATTTTGCATAGTCACGCGAGCTAAAGAACACACAGCCTGGCTACTGCTTCGAATGCGGAATCCAACGCAGCTGGGAATGGAGAAAAGGTCCCCATGGCGGCCGCACTTTGTGCAATGCCTGCGGGATACGCTATCGCAAGCGCGAAGGGGGAACTGAAAGCTGAACATTAGAAAAGAGCTTGGCGCAGTCGAGAACTAACGCAAGAAGCCAGAGGGCTGTATCTGTACTGTGTGTTTGTTAATATTGGACATGTTGGTTTCAACAGTACCTTTTGTATAACGGGCAAGCCGCTCGCGCGGCGGCTGTGTCGCCGGGCTTATGGAATCTTCCATGAGCTCGAAGCTGTAAAATGCTTTCGTATAGTTGATTCACTTAATTTCCCCTTCATGCTCACAGTAAGCAGCATAGGGGCTAGATAGTTCAGTCAAATTAAACCGATCAGAGTTCGAGACTTTTCATTCCAGTGACAGTGGCGTCACTAGTTCTCATGGAACCCCTCCAAAGGTTCCTCACTGAATATCTAGTACCGCCCGTTCTTTTTGACTCATTGTCCTGCTCCTGTTGTTGGCGATACTTCGAATGAGCTGCTTGAGCTGCTTAAGAAAATGGTCGAAGAGTAAAGGCGCGCCTGATTACATACGGCTGAGAGAGCCAATGGATATTATTGTCGATGATCAGACTGAGAGATGTTCTCGCTTGGGTCCTTCAATCAGATACCTAGCATGCCATTTTCAGAGTGTTATGTAGCAGATAAGTAAGCTGATTCGATCTCCCGACGTCCATTACGAGGTTGTGGAACTCTTCCACCGATTCCTTACGCCGCCAAAGAGCGTGTTGCGCCGCAGATAATGGTGCCGCACCTGACAGCGGCTTTTTAAAGACTAATGAATCGTGTCCAAAAAGTAGCGATTTGGCTGAGAGGTTAAGCCTATGGCCGAAGTAGTGGCCACGCCTCGTAGATTCAACGAGTGCCAGCTTACCTGCAATGGCTTCGATCGCGGCATCATAATTCCCCGCGCTGTCCAGGGCCACAGCATCCAATCTTGTTTGAACTCGATAGGCAGCCAGTATGTGTATACTTCCCGCCGCAAAATTGTGTCCAAAGTGACCAGTTCGCAAAAATTTTAGTCTCCAAAAAATAAACAATAAAAGCTCGAAAGAGAAACGAATGGAGCCGCTGTGTTTTCGAGATATCGTAAATTTCATGGCTAATGGCGGCCTCGCTTCCGACAAAAACACCACGTGACAACCGCAGAAGTCGACTCAGCTCAACACGCCGCGCGAAGTATATTCGCTATACGTCGCAGCTTGCTTTTTGCCACATGCAGCACCAGATTCTCCGTGGCCTGATCCGCTATTCGCCTAGCTGCTGATCAACTAACTCCGAATTCCAGTCATACGGCAATATCGATGTGCGGAAAGGGCACGGTATTCTAGCAATGTGAAGGTTACAGTAGTCACTGAGTACTTTGCACGTCGCGTTACCACTTAGAAGCACCGAGCCGAAGCAAATACAGAAAAGTTCAGCTGTTTTGACAAGTGCGCACCAAGGAGCGTGCCATTCACTTCTTTGACCTGCTGGCTAGTTTTATCACCGCACAAGCATTGTGGGCTAGTGCTCGGGTTATTTGCGTCTCTGCTGCTCATTTTTACAAGGAATATGCGCTGCTCACGTTTCAAACTTTCCAATTGGATTCTATTCAGCACCTAGCGCTTAAACACCGTGAACGGCTCCGTGGTTTCGATCGCTATTTGCCCCAATTCGCCGAACGAGCCGATCCCATGCTTATACCCTGGGACATTACATCTCTTCTCAGTTGTTACCTTTGAATGTTGCTGCTGTCCTCTTCGTTCAAGCTTTACTTACGGAGAACCGCGCCGGCCCTGGTCCACCATCCGATGTCGTTGGCGCATTTGTAGCAATAATATAGATTGAATCCAATTTTGCAAAAGTTGAAATCTCGTGGGTCATCTGTCGACGTGGCCTCTGCGCGCTTTCGACATTTAAGGCAGGTTATGTGCTTAATGAAGGCACTTCTCAACATGGTGAATTAAAGAGCAAGATCTATATTCGGGTGTGCATAAGTGCTGAATCTTGCTCTCGGTTTATTTATGCATCATTGAACTACACTTGGATAACGGGATAGTACTTTAATGTCCATTTATCGCACTTGACGTTTGTAAATTACCAATGAACTCTGTGCACTTGCAATTGCCGAAAACTGTCTCGTTCTTTCGCTCGCTGCCGCCGTCGCCGTCGGGAGCAGCCTTCTACCACTTCAGGAAGATGTGGCTCTGCCAGAGCTGCGCACACCGGTCTCTGTCGAGTTGACGATGCAACAAAGGCCACTGACGGACACCAATGGTAGCGGTTCGGCGAAAGTGGACAGGCCAGGGCGAAAATGGAAGACGGCCAGAAAGCCACTTAGTTCGAAGCCGAGGGCGAAGCTCCCACTGACCGTTCTGGAGCGATGCATCAATGCGTGCTCATGACGCTGGCGACCCTGCGATAGAAGGCTGTGCACTACTGCCTAGCGGCTGTAGTTGGCAGTCTTTCGCACGTTTCCCACATAAATCGGCTTCGCGCCAACTTTTAATCCTATGCAATGCACAGTTATTGCTGCACCCATCCATCGTCCAGGCACTGCACGCCATGGGGAGTATCCATGCCAAATTATGCAGTGCATAAAGCGGCTGAGCACTCGATGAGCTCTGCTCTAGCGTGCATGTCTAGCTACTGTCTAGTGTGTGGGATATGTTGCGGCTTGCAGGAGCCAGGATCGGTGGAGCAAATCTGCTTCAGTACACGCCCAGCCCCGTCACGCCGGTGCAGTGGGAGCTTAATTAGGAAGACGCAATCTGGTAACGGTCCGCTCTCACTGCTACGGACAATGGAAGAAGGGAGGGGTGCGCTTTCGTCTTGGCAGCCTTTCCACTTCAGCAGGCGGCTTCGGTGGGGAGGTCCCAACTGATTTAGCAACGGTGCCCCGCCCCCTGTTTGTTCGGCAACTTTGATGTCAATCCCGAAGACAGACTGCGGGGCAACTTCAGACAGGAACAGGGGAAGGGGTAGCATTATAGCTGCTGACCCAGGCGGCCTCGTCATTGCCCTCGGACTAAAGCTTGACCTTTTGCACTAGGTACCGGCATTTGTGGCAGCAGTAGTTTTCATCTACACTGGCGTCTTGGTGGCGTAACGAGTAATGAGGCTGGCCGCACAGTCAGCTCCTCATAGAATAGGAAATGCTCGATATGCTCCTTCAAGTGCCATTACATGCCTCGAAAGAGATAGTGTCCACTTGGATACAAAGTTATTCAACGCCTGGCTTCCACGCTTCTCTTTTAAATGCCACCATGTCCCGCAGATCTCAGAATCTCCAGACCGTCTCCATCCCATCGTGCAACCACTCATTCAGGTCTTTTACTATACCTCGTCATGCATCTCCTTCTCCCCTTGGAGAATTAGAGTGAGGCTCTTCACGGATATGCAATTGATTTTGACTCGATAACAATTACAAAACCGCCAACCAAGGTTGTGCTACGCTTTTCAGGTTTTCAGCCGCTGCTCACCCTCCCTACTTCCACCTGGTCAGTTGCACAGAAACGTGGCTAACAACGCAGTCACTTCTCTCTCTGAGAGTGACTAAATTGGCAATTAAGTGGGCTCGCTTGTACATTACTGCGGGTGCTGCTCTGACCGATTATAGTCTTAAGGTCGCCATCAGAGCCAACCAACGTGGCTGGCTCAAAGCGTACACATCTATCTCCTGCCCCAATGCAATGGACAGAAAATCTGAAAACCTCGAAAGAGACCTTAAAGATCTTGAAATGTCACCGCTCCCGCCTCCACAGCGCGCTAGGATTTGGGATGTCACAAAAGACGACTTCTGGCATAGGAATGCCATTGAACGCCACGGCCAATTTTCCCAACACTCCCAGCGTTGGAGCCACGACAGATCATCCATCATGACCAACATGCGCGGTGCCGAGGCCGAAGTCCGTGAACTCAGAGAAAAGGAGGACAAGCTCAGTCGAGAGCTTGCCGCTATTCGCAGTCGGACGGCCCTTGTCAATGACACATACAACCAGGAAGCCCGACGCTTGAACAGTTTAGACACTCAGCATAGCGTTCAGAAGCAAGGCCTGGTCGAGAAGCACGAAAAGATCAAAGTCCAAGTGAACGACTGGTCTCTGCGATGCAGAACTCGAGACGTTGTCCACGAACGGGGACTGACATTGCCGGAGCTCATTGACAAGAGACCCGCAGAGAGACAGCTCAAACTGCCGCCGCTGGCGAATTTGCACCTTCCTAGGGAGGCTCCCAACAATGACGATATACTAGTTGCCATTATCGACTCCAATCACACTATACTAGACAAGCTTCAACATCTTGGGTTTTCCAACGAACGCACCACAACAATATCCTCTCGTGCCGTCCTTCAGCCTATCAAGCTGCGCAATGCCCGCCGGTTCTTCGAAGACACGAGGACAAGTATCTACAGCTTTGCAGACGGCAAAGGCACTGGCTGGATAGCATGTATGATACAGGCGACCGGCATCCTCCAGAAGAAAAGGTGCCACGGCTGCAGCAGCAACGAGAGTCCTTTTGAGGGCTGTATTGCCGTTGGTGGCCATCTCTTCTCTAAGTGCGGGAACTGCGAGTGGAATGGAACAAGCTGCCAGGGGTTAAATCCGTCAACGTCGACCAACATGCTTGCTCACATGCGTCCCGCTTTGGAACCTCCGCGCAGCTGTTCGCAACTATCAACACCAGGGCTCATCTTAGACCCCTCCCTCAACTTGCCCGCTGAGCTAGAAGCTCTGGCAGCGGCTGCACCACAGGCGACTGTCAAAGCTTATTCATCGCACTACAGTCCGCCACAAGTACATATTTCTGGGTTTAAAGCCGCGAATCAGACTGCCAAGTACGAACAGGCTCCTCCAGTACCCAGAGCTGTCCCATCTCTAATAGCTTCCAGCCGCACCAGTTACCGGAGGAGCCCCAAGGCCCCGAACGCGGACTGCTCGGTTCCGCGGCCAATGGCGCCGATATGCTTTCGCCAAATGGATTTTGCGGCACCAAATTCAAATGACATTACGAAAGAGACGCTCGTCTTACGGCACAACGGTATTATCTATACGCATCCCGACTGCATCGCAGGTGTGCCTTTAGAGAAGATCACGCCCAGCCATCCATATTGGGAGACCAAGTGGCCAAAGCTGCGAAGCCTGACGGAGCCAATCCTACGCTTGTGGGAGGAAAAGCTTCAGTCGGAGGAGGCGGCCAGCAGAGTCCAGAAAGTTGGTAGCGTCAAGTACCAATACGGACGCCAGGTCAACCGAGGCAACACGATCCTCAGATTTTTAGAGCAAGGACCGATTAGCCCGTACCAACTTCTCGCTAAGAAATACGTGAGCGTGGGCAAAGGCAGTATAACTTCTTACGACACGCTGTTCCGCCTTTGCGAGACAATTGAAGCGCTATCTAACTATAAGACAGACGTTGAGCCCGTCGACTGGATGCGCCAGCATCTGCACGAGCTGATTACGGCGCAGGGCTCTGGCTTCAACTTTCCAAAGACCATTCATGACTTTTACAATGATCCTAAGCTGGCAGCACTGCGCCAGAAGTCGGGCTTCAAGAGCATTGGGCGACCTTCGGGCATCAAGATGCCTCTGCGAAGGGCCGAGAGCGTGGATGATGATGTGCCTTTGACATCGAGCCAGCGCAAACGCAAGAGCCATCCATCGTACGGCACGCCAAGTCCGCGGACCGAGCCACCCAATGCTGAGCCCTTGAAGGTCGATCCCGTTGACGTCAACCAAGGCCCGGTGGGAAAGAAGCAAAAGGCGGCGGCCAAGGTGCTGGACAGCCTGGAGACGGGAGAGGTGTCGGATGCGGACTCGGTGAGCGGGTCGGCGATTAGTGAGTTCGATTTTCGAATCTGCCAGATCAAGACGCGGCTGTTTACGAGTTCGGAGAAGGTGACGCAGTACTGGAGCTGGGTGCCAGAGAAAAGTATGTTTGAGCACCAGATCCTGGATGACAGGAGCCCGGCAGGCTGGAGCATGCAACGGGGCCCTATTGAATTCAGCCTGCGTCTGGGGGACGTGGTGAAGATTTCGTGGAACCTGAAGGCGTTGCGGGTGTACTTGGTGATGAGCGACAGACATATCTGCTTTGAGGACGATAAGCTGAGGGGGGACATAATCGTGACGTTTAGGCGGCCGAATACGATGAGGAGGTTCATTCAGTTTTGCCGACGCCGGGAGATTGAGCTGGTGGAGGAGACATGGTCAGTACACGACATGCATCACTGCAAGGGGCCTCTATGCTAACGAAAATTGTTATAGGAAGAAGATAGAGCATCTGTGGGGGACGATGCACTCGCAGTGACTGATGGCGGTTGAAGAAGAGGCTGGTGCGAGGTTGCAGGAATAGCTTCCGAAGCCGGAGCGGCGGCGCCATGCTCGACGCCTAACCCTCGGAAGTCATGGAGGACTACCTAGGGACACTCAGTTTGTTGGAGGATCACTGGGCTTTCAACCACACCACTTTGACAAGCGATCTCCACATGCGTGAACATAGGGGAGTGAACCTGAGTGAGTGACAACTGATGTCGTGCAGCTGCTTTCTCATATGAGTGTTTTACAGATAGTGAATCTCGAAACACAGTGAAGTAATCGCCCGCAACCCACAGCGCTAAGTCTCCACAGCGGCCTTGAGGCTGGGCGAGCTGTTACACTGCTCATGAGCTTGGCCTTTTGCCCATCACTGCTGACATCCTTCCCTCCACCCGTACAGTTCAGCTCCTTCGATGGTGCCGTCACAAAGGCCGCCGTCTGGCAATTTTAAAAGTGTGCTTCTAAGACTTTTTGCTACATACACGATGCTTTAATTAACCTTTCGTCCGACGACTTTTGTGACAGGACCTCGGTATTGGTCCTTACCGCCGCAGACGTAATGAATTGCGGCGAATATGAGCACCACAACAAAGATAGGTCCCGACCAATTGAAGCCTCCCGCCGTGATTGGATATGTAATAGGCCAAGAGCACCAAAATAAGCTCCAAAGACCAAAGGCAATGGCTAACGCGTTCAGCAAGACTCCATATTTGCCAAGAGAGAACTTCGCATATGGAAGTGTCTGCGGATAACGTATTCTTGTGAAAGGCCGCTAGTAAGTTGATTCAACTATCTAGTTCCTATG